ACCCTTGTACCTGGTTTCATGTCACTTGCAACGGAGATAATCAAGTTACTCGTGTGTAAGTCTTCAAAGTTTCCTTCTTTTTGTGTTTTTTGAGTTAAATACTTGTTTGGGTGTGCTGATAGTTATCGGAAATTGGTCGATTTGTATGTTTGTGTTTGTGTTATGTATGTGTTACTCACAGGTATATATATGGTCTAAACCTAAAGCGGAGGATTTGATTGAATCTGCTATGTGAGGCTGGATTTATATGACAGGAAAAAAGAAAAATTGCTGAGTTGTGGAAGGAAATGGGTGTAGAGTAGAATTTAGCTAGAGGATTCATATAGCCATTTGTTGTTGTTGTTGTTGGTTAGTTGTGTTGATATTCATTCTGGGCTCATATAGATGGTAAAAAGTTAAGCTTTCACTTGACTTGCTTGCTAACAAGTCTTTGTTTGGAGATTAGTAGCAAAGTGATTCCTGTTTCCAGGGTGAAGAGCATGTCTGTATTACTTTTGTTTGACTTACTCAAAGTTCCTGTCGTGATGTGTACTGATGATCTATGTGCTAAATATGGAGGTGTGTGGTTCATTAATGATCTTTGTCGTTGTTATGTTTTTGATCTCACGTGGTTTCACCCTTTGTGTCTGTATTACTTTTGTTAACTTACTCGAAGTTCTTGTCGTGATGTGTATCGATGAGACAATGATCTATGTGTTAAAGATGGAGAAGTGTGATTCATTAATGATCTTTGTCATTGTTATGTTTCTAATCGCACGTGGTTGCATCTTTTATAAACTTTTAGGAGATTTTGTCTGATTTAAAGTGTGGCAAAGCCTTGTACTTTAAAATTAGTTGGTGGTGACCCAAGATGAAGAGGGCGTGTGCATTACTTTTGTTTAACTTACTCGAAGTTCCTGTCGTGATGTGTATCGATGATCTATGTGCTAAAGATAGAGACGTGTGATTCATTAATGATCTTTGTCCTTGTTATGTTTCTGATCTCACGTGGTTGCACCTTTAAGTCTGTATTACTTTTGACTTACTCGAAGCTCCTGTCGTGATGTGTATCAATGATCTATGTGCTAAAGATGGAGACGTGTGATTCATTAATGATCTTTGTCCTTGTTATGTTTCTGATCTTACGTGGCTGCACCTTTATGTCCGTTTTAAAGCATGGCAAAGCGCCAAAGTCTTGTACGTCAAAATTAGTTGGTGGTGACAATGTTTGTGTACGGCTTTTTTGTAATGTTGGAGCAAGCATGGTCATTTGCTAATGTTTTTTTTTTTTTATAAAATCAAATTATCATTTCACTGGCAAAAAATTGGATGTTTGTGACAGTTTGTGTGTCTTAGAGTTCCATTTCCTGTATCTTATATGATCTTGGAACACCTGATGACTGATGTTACTGGGTGGATTTTTATGTTGATTGATTGATAGTTGATACATAACAGATGATTTGTGAAATTTGAATGAGTCACAAACTTATTTATTGAAATGCAAGAAATCTTGCTATTAGTGTTACCAAAAGCAAAAAAAAGCTCTATGATCTGTTGGGGGTTTAAGTACAAAACGCAAATAAAGTGTGGACATTAATGAAAAAAGGCGCAAAGGGAGAAAAAAATTTAGAAATATGTATGTTCAGGCTAAGACTAATAATTATAAGCATGAATGAAAAATCTATGAACAAAGAAATCGAAAAAGAATTACAATAAATATCAATTGTTTAGTATCACCTCTTTAGAAGAGGCTCATTGACAAGGAAAAGTATGCCTTATAACTTTGATGACGATACTGAACCATACATTAAGAGAGGCGAAGCGCTCAACACCTTTTGAGTTTCACTTCAGGACTTAAGCGCACTTTAAGCGCACCTTTGACAACACTCCTTGCTATATCTTCGCAACTGTGTCTCACATATTTAAAAACATGAGGTACTTGGCCGGACATTCCACGTGTACGAAGAATCACATCAATGTCCAAACCGGAAATTGTTATATACTTGCATCTATCCTGAAAGGAACAGTAACTATAACCAACAAACATGTTTTTCTGAAACGAACTTGTTTCGCCTAAGAATAAATTTCATGTTTCCTGATATGAACTTATTCTCTACTGATTCATACATAAACTGCCCCCCTGATGAATTCTCCCAAAAAGTGGTGCAACTCAGAAAAGATAATGACAAGTCTGAAATATCTCTGGGTTTTAATGTTTCTCCAGGGACCTTGGCAACTCAAAGTTATCTGGTCATTTGGTACCTGAGCTTGGAAAGCTTGAACATCTACAGTATCTGTGAGTAATTATTTGAAATCTTGAATTGACTTGCCATTTCTAGTCAATAACTCTTTTTGTTTATAAGGAGTCATATCCATGAGGTAATTGTTTGTTGCTTCAGGGAGCTTTACAAAAATAATATTCAGGGAACCATCCCTAAAGAGCTCGGTAACTTGAAGAGCCTTATTAGTCTGGATCTGTACAACAACAATATTTCGGGGACAATTCCTACTTCACTTGGAAAGCTGAAAAACCTTGTTTTCTTGTAAGTTCTCCTTTGTGATGTTTCCCAATTTGGTTCCAGTCATGTGTACGTTTTACATATGAGGGGGAAGAAAAATAAAGCAAATATTCTGTTACTTGCACTACTCACAGAGTTCCCTTTTCTTCTTTGACCTTAATATTCATTATCACTTGCTTGTAGTGAATGGGTTAAAGCACATTCCTCTTATGTTGATTGAAAGTTTCTTATCTGATCTATCAGGCGTCTAAATGATAACAAGCTAACCGGACCAATCCCAAGAGAACTTACTAGCGTTTCTAGCGTGAAAGTCGTGTAAGTATAATTTCTTTGCTTGTGTTATTATTGTTAATTCTTCTGCGAAATAGATTTTAAATTATGCACTCTTTCTTCCAGGGATGTCTCGAATAATGATTTGTGTGGAACAATTCCCACTTCTGGTCCATTTGAGCATATTCCTCTGAACAAGTAAGATTTCCTTGTATATCCTTCAAGTATTGTTGTCAGAGTTGAACTGTAGGAGTATTATGCAATGGTGCAAAGAGTAATCATGTCTCTGTATGCTTTATTCTATCGTTCACCTTTAAAAAAAGACTACCAATCAAAAAAGGTATTCCTTTTAAAAAAATATATTTTCTTGATTTGCCCTTATCTAAGTTAAATTTGGGCTTCATAATAGGCAAATTATACCGGAAGCAATGACTTCCAACTTTTGTTTTGAAAGAAGAAAATTATTTGGAAAAGATTTGAATTTCTGCAATGACTTCTAAATTTTGCTTTGAAATAAGACAACTATTTGGGAAGGACTTGGATATGTGACCTTTTATTTCAGACTACACGTCATTGATTAGTTGAGAAGCCTTAAATAACACCTTAAAGAGAGTGATATACTAACAACAATGAGTTCTAGATTTCCGGTTATTTCAATTAGAATTGTGGGTGGCATTAATTCAAGCTATACACGAGATACCATTGTCTCCATTTACTTCAAACCGAAAGGAAGCCCAACTGTATTTTTATTTTGTTCCTCTGGATATGCTAATTATATGTGCAACGCAAATCAATTAAGACGCGTCATGGTTACCTTTTCACTTTTTGTTTATTCCTTTAGCTCCTTAATTCCCTTGTTTCGACATGTATTTATATTAGATTTTGTTGTTATTTGGGAAAGGGTGTGTGTTAAGTAAAAAAAAAAGAAGTAGAATATATAAAAATAAAGCCAGACAAGCAGATAAATACATCCAGTATATGTCTCAGAAAGCAATTGTGCTTTCGAATATAGTCAAAGAGCCTTCGTGTTCCTGGTGGTATCCATGTGTCATATGTGGGTCTTACCTGCTTAGCTTTTGCACTATGACCAAGAAATTCACCTGGGGCTAACTATTAGGACCAACCGCCTCTTTACCATTCTCCACGTAAGTACCAGATTTAGTTTGCATGGTTCTGAGATTGAGCTTTTGACACAAGTCCATCAACCTTTGCCACTTGAACCAAGTCCCGGGGGCTTGTGCTATGTATAGTCTTACACCATGTCATTCTTCTTGATTTCTCAACTCTGCGGTCATCTCCTACTGATTCCTTTAAGAAGATACAGTATCCTAGTTGGATGTTTCTAATGAGTTTCCTGAACTTCTAATTTGCAGTTTCGAGCACAATCCTCGACTTGAAGGTCCGGAGTTGTTGGGACTCGCTACCTACGACACCAACTGCTCTTAGAAGCTTGATGAATAGCTTCAGAAGAAGCACCACTTTTGTGGAAGTTTAACAAATTCCCCTCCCCTGAACCTTGTTTATTGTTGTACTTACAGTGTGTCCAAAGTTGTAACTCTAAGCAAAGGTATGGTGTATGTAGGTTATTACTAAGTTAAGGAATGTGTGTAAAACAATCTCTATACTGCTACCAACTGTTGATGTATTTCATATTTCAAAGTCTAGTGAAATGGTTCAGTGGGGTTAGAAATGCCTATTTTTACTTCTGTTACACTGCTATAAATATGAATGGAACAATAACAGAGATTTTGATTGATGGATATGCAAATTGAATTTATGCAAATATTATACGTTTAACAGAAGGTGTTTGATAGAAAACAAATTTTAAGAAAAACTAAAGATGACTTTTTAACATATAAGTCAATTATTTTTACATGAGAAGATCAAAAGTACTCTTTTAAAAGACTGATGGTAACCACTAGTTTTTTCATGCTCATAAAAATGAATTTTTATATCAGTAATAAGTCCCAACTTCCGATAAGTCATGTCAATTAAGTATAAAATGAAAGCTAGGATTAAATAATTTTAGGAACGAACTAAAAAAGAAAATGTATCACATAAAACAAAATTAAGGAAAGATTATACATGGTATATCTCATTTTTAATGTGGTGAACCAAATATCCGCCAATAAAGTATATGCACTAAATAATGCAATGATTATTTATCTTTATGTTAAATTCCCTGTATAACTTTGTCCGCAAACCAAACGAGTTAAAAGAACTAAAGAAGTGAAGAAAACAGCAAAATGAAAGGCAATGAGTCATGCTTGCCATTACTTTCAGGATAGCAGTCCAACATAAACTGCTTCATACAAAAAAATTACAAACTCCATATACAAGTTTAACAAAACCTTTTCTTCCAACAATCTCCAAAAACTGCTGAAAAGATGAAAAAAAATATAAGAAGAAAAGAATGCTTCAAGAAATCAAACCAAAACTCATTCTTGAAGGAGTCCATCATTTCACAAGCCACTCCAAACCATGCAATAACCCAAACTACTAATGCAATAAACACAAAATTGTAAACCACCTTTAACTCCTTTTTGTCAGTCAATCATCCTGAGCATCTTCATTCTTTGTCGGAGTCGCTTGAACTTGAATCAGAGCTTGAGCTTGAGCTTGAGCTTGATCCCGTCTCGTGGGATTTGTCCTTCTTGCCTTTAACATCAGATGTACCAGGCATATCAACAGCATGATCTGGTTTTTCAGCTGTTGATGTCTTTGCTTCTTTTAGTACAACTTCATGATCACCTTTTTCAGTTTCACCTTCACCAAAATCAAGTAAATTAGATCCTCTAACACTTGATTCCATATCATTGGATGAGCCTGCTTCAATTGGTTTCGCTTCTGCTGACTCACCTTCAGAAGTGGAGTTCAGGGGTTTCTCCAGATTTCCTTCCAAGACTTGTTTCAAAGCCAAGTCTGTTTCGACGTTTTGTGAATCTGAAGAAGCTCCTACATCTTCGGATTCCCCAGGATGCTCATCACCACCAACAGAATCATGATGGATGAGTGTCTCATCATCACTCTCAGAAAGTTTTTCATGATCCAAATCAAAATATTCAGTTGGTCTTGTTTCAAGAATTGGTAATTGCATATTGCGTGTCACGCTTGACGCTTCTAGCACCACTGTGTTGTCAGAACTCCCAGATACTTCAGCTGCTAGCTCAGCATTAGGTTGCTCAAGAACATTAGATTTCTTCATTTCTTTCTCAGATATTCTCCTAAATATCATGTCAATATCTTCAAATGTTTCTGCTTCTGGCACTGGCATTTCAGAATCTTCCAGCGCTGAACTTGACACTTCAGCTGCAGCTGCAACGTTCCCAGATTCTTTGGTTGCTAGCTCAGCATTAGGTTGTTCAAGAACATTTGATTTCTCATCTATTTCTTGCTCAGATATTTGCCTAAATGCTAGGTTAATATCTTCAGCAGTTTGTATTTGAGGATCTTCCAGCACTGAATCTGACACTTCAAACACTGCTGCATTGACAGAATTCCCAGATTCTTCAGTTGTTAGCTCAGCATTAATATTCGATTTCTCAGCTATTTCTTGCTCAGATATTTGCCTAAATGCTAAGTTAATATCTTCAACTGTTTGTGCTTCCAGTACTGACATTCCTGAATCTTCGTGTACTCTACTTGACACATCAAACACTGCTGCATTGTCAGAATCTCCAGATTCTTCAGTTTCAAGCTTAGCATTAGGTTGCTCAAGAACATTCGATTTCTCAATTTCTTGCTCAGATATTTGCCTAAATGCTAAAGTGATGTCTTCAGCTGTTTGTGCTTCCAGTACTGGCATTCCAGAATCTTCCTGTACTGAACTTGACACGTCAAACACCACTGCGTCATCAAAATCCCCAGATTCTTCAGTTGCTAGCTCAGCAAAAGGTTGCTCAAGAACATTCGATTTCTCACCTATTTGCCTAAATGTCAAGTTAATAGCTTCAGCTGTTTGTGCTTCCAATACTGGCATTCCAGAATCTTCCTGTACTGAACTTGACACGTCAAACACCACTGCGTCATCAAAATCCCCAGATTCTTCAGTTGCTAGCTCAGCAAAAGGTTGCTCAAGAACATTCGATTTCTCACCTATTTGCCTAAATGTCAAGTTAATAGCTTCAGCTGTTTGTGCTTCCAATACTGGCATTCCAGAATCTTCCTGTACTGAACTTGACACATCAAACACCACTTCATCGTCAGAATTAACAGATTTTTCAGTTACAAGCTTAGCATTAGGCAGCTCAAGCACATTCGAATGCACTATTTCTTTCTCAGAACTAATTCTAAATGCTGATTCAATGTCTTCAATTGTTTGTGCTTCCACCACTGGCATTTCAGAATCTTCCTTCACCGAACTTGACACTTCAAACACCGCAGCATCGTCAGAATCTCTAGATTCTTCAGTTACAAGCTTAGCATTAGGAAGCTCAACCACATTCAAATGCTCCTTTTCTTTCTCAGAACTAATTCCAAATGCTGACTCAATATCTTCAATTGTGCGTGCTTCCACCTCTGGCATTCCAGAATCGTTCAGTACTGAACTTGACACTTCAAACACCGCTGAATTGTCAGAACTCCCAGATTCTTCAGTTACTAGTTTAGCATTAGGTAGCTCATACACATTCGAGTTCAATGTTTCTTTCTCAGAAGTACCTCTAAATGCTAACTCAATATCTTCAACAGTTTGTGCTTCCAGCACTGGCATTCCAGAATCTTCAGCATTATATAGCTCAAAAACATTAGATTTCTCCATTTCTTTCTCATAAACTTGCCAAAACGCTGACTCAATATCTTGAATTGTTTGTGCTTCTAGTACTGGCATACCAGAATCAGTTTCCTCTTTGACTATAACTTCTTGAGGCAAATCAGTCACTCCAGTTTGAGCAGATTCTGCATTTGCCACCTCAAAGACAGAGTTTTGAGCTTCAGCTATAGTCATTTCCGGAACTATCTCTTGAGCATCCAAATTAAGTTTTTTCATGGAATCTGAAGGCCCAATATCACTATCCGCAGGGAGTCCTCCTTCAATTGATCTAACATCAACAGCATTATGAACTTCTCCTTCAGCAAATTTTGTATAAGATGCATCAAGATGATCAATAATGCTCATTCCAGATTTTTGAATTTCTGAAGCACACTCCTTTTCTTCATGCTTATCAATCTCTTCAAATGTGGATGCGTTTAAAATATCAGGGTGCAACGGAAACTTTCTTTCATGAACTTCAGCACAGGCCTCTTCAGCAACTTCTGGAGTGCCAGAATCAACAGTGGGGAATGCAGACAAACCCTCTCCAGTGGAGTTGATTCGTCTCTCGAACTCATTCTGGCTTGATCCCAGCTCGTTGATGCTAAAGTCACCAACTGTATCTAATTCATAGAGAAATGCCTCATCAATGTCCTCAATACCATCTGTTTCTTCAACTATATATAGCTCGTCATGCTGAAAATCAGCTGCTTCTGGTGGCAATACATAGTTTTCCAAGACTTTGATCTGGTTATCATTTTCCTCGAGGATCATGTTCTTTAGACCTGATAGACTAGCACCTCTTGGGGCCTCAACAACCTCATGCAGATTGGAAATAGAGTTGGGAGTACGTGGGGAGCTGATAATAGGAATTCCATCATCAAGGTCATGGATTTCTGAAACATTCAAGGTCTCAGTGGTGCTTGCTTCCTCAATTGACTCAACCAGGATAGCTGGTGTCTCCTGCTTATCAGAAAAAGACGCACTTAAACTACTAGGATTGTTTCCCAACTAGAAGCATTGAAAGTAAAGAAGAGTGAGAAGGAAAGAAATAAATTAACTTTCCAATAACATAAGGACGATAACAATTTTTTGATGCATGACTTCAATAAGATACACAATAGTTGATCCTATCACAAATAGAACTTTTAATGCTCTTTATCCATATCCCCCAGTCCCCACCCCACCACGGAAATGTAAGACTCGCAAAGTAGCACTTAAAGCAAAACCTGAGAAATGTAACCAGTCATGTCTCCAATCATCTTGGCATGATGCTATCACCAGTCCAATTATTTTGGCACGATGTACTAGTACATGCAAGTAACCAGCAGTATATGCTCGTCCAGATTATGTAGGATATTAATAGTATGTAACATGGCGAAATTACAAGTGACCAGCAGCAATCCGCTCATCCACATGGTGGATGATATTTTGCTCAAATACGCAATATATTCCTAGCCAGTTAATTAGTACTTCTATCACTGACTCTGTCAGATCCATTATTAGATTTGACATTCTAAAGTTCATTCACATTTGTTTACCTTTAGAGGTAAGGCATTTGTTCAAAATATGCTTTATCCATACTGCATTTTTGTCAAGTTCAAGGTTCATTTATCAAACCGTGAAGTCAAGAGCAGGATATCAGTAGCAGTATTTTACTTCTTATGTGATAGATCCAGATAACTTTTAGCTATCTAGAGTCATTTTGTTCTTCTGGTCAATATTAATTTTTAATTAGTGAGGAAACAGGTCTAAGTTCTGGCCTTTTTTTATGGATTTACTCCTCTTTCTGGCCTTTCAAATGCATAGTTTATAATACAAATATGGTTATGCTTCCTTTGGAAAGCTACAAAATTCACCACTACTGACTCGCTGATGTCATACGACAGAACATTTATCTTGAATTTAATCAAGATGGGAAATTGCATGATTTTGAAAATCTATGTTTTGAAGTTTTTTGGCTTTGTAGTTTTTTCTTCACTCAAGGTTGAGTCACATAGATATGCCTTGGTTTGACACAATATGCCCAAAAACTTTTAGGCTTATAGGTTATCCTCCAACATGAAACAATCTATATCATGTAAAACATGCCAACATGAGTACCAGACTATTGTTCTACTATTAGGTATCTAAGCTGCAGTTTTCTAATGCAATCAGTTCAACAACATATCCAGTGGGATTGTGTAATCCCACAAGGGAAAACATTTCAAAGCAGGTCGGAAAAAGAAATAGCAGAAGTGAAAAAGCCATAGCAAAGTAATATAGAAAGCATGACAAAAAATTCTGAAATCAGTTCAAGTACAATAAATTATGTGTCTTTTGCCTTGTTATTTGGTAAATCAAGTAGGTATGTCTTTTTTTCCCATAGCAGCAATCGCACATTTAAAGATAAAAGTTAACCAGCTTTCAATTTTCAATGTAAATGAGTTATGATATATGAAATGAGAAGTAATGAAGAAAGAGAAGTTGCTTAAAGGAAATGCATAGAAAAGAAATGTGGAACGAAGTGTTTACCTTTACTTCCTTATCATCTGATGGATGTTCATCAATGGATTTGTCTGAGTATGCCAATTCTTCTTCACACTGTGAGATGGACCTCTCTGTAGAAGCATATTGATGTCCAACTGAGATCTGTGTTTCATCCACTTCACTCAGAGCATCAGTAACCGAACTTTCAACAGCATCCAATGAGGGAAGATCATGCTGTTCAGAGACTATAGATTCCTCCTTCTCAGTCACATCCTCCACAGATTGCTTCTCCAAAGAAGGCATAACTGGTTGATCAAGTGGAACCTCTGCGATCAGAAAACGCTGTTCATCACCCATCTGGCGAATGTTTTGATGATCTGAGGATGTTGAAAGGGATTCAACGGCGTGGTCTACAACAAGTTGAGACACAATATAGGTATCTGCATCAAATCTTGAAGAAGAAACTTGATGTTGTGCATGATCAATAGCTCCGTCTTTATGCCCAATATCTTCGTCTGCTGATGATTCCGAGTCAATAAATGTCTGACCGATGACCAACTCAGGCACCGGAAGGGCATTTGCACCGCCAAAGGCTTCATCATCTTCAGAAATCTCCGCCTTCGCAACATCGAGCTCATTTTGGCATACCACCTCTCTTGACAGAAATTCTTGGCCATCTGCTGGTGCCAAAATCTCTTCATTAGTTGGAAGGGATTTTTCAATGTCCTGACTATTTTCCTCAGATTCCCTCTCTACGAATGAAATAGTTCTTTCAACCAATGTAGGAGGAAACACTGTCTCAGATTCCACATGCTGATCTGAAGAAAAGGAGGCTGAAAATATGTTTTCCCTAATAGTAGAAGGACTGGAATCATAAATAGGGTGTTCGCGTGGAGTATGATCTACTGAAGTGCTTGTGATGTGGAAATCAGGTCCATCAAATGAAGCTTGCCTGGAGATCCCATTTTGTTCAATATGTCCCATTGTCTCCTCGAAACTTGATCTCATTTCTCCTTCTTTATCAATGAAGACCCTTTCACTCACTTCTGCCAACGATGAGGAGCTAGATTGGCTGCTGTATCTTTGATAAGAAGTTTCTGGCTTGGATTGAATTTCGGTTGGATTAAGTTCCAATGCGCTGGTCACTCTTCCTTCCTGGAGCAAAGTTTCTTCTGCTTCATGCTGATTTTCCACAGTTCCCAGCTGCACCAAAGACTCTACTTCTTCGGAGGATTGACTTCCATGTCTGACATGCTCAGAAGTATGCTCTGGCTCCTCCGAGATATGTTCATCCATGAGGTTTCTGCATTCCAGTTCTTCTTGATCAAGGCTTTTGTGTCTGAGCTGCCCTTCAATGAGGTTACTGTCTTCCATATCTTCAACTGAACTTAGTGATTCTGTTTCAGGAACAGAACTCACCTTCGAATCACTAAGTTCGCTAGATTGTCTTTGAAATGGTGAGTAGCTTGTTCCCTCTGTAGCCATTCTCTCCGGAACAAAATAGGGTCTCAAATGGCTATCTTGCTTGTCTTGCCTGTTCAGCCCGAAGATTGAGGGTCTTACGATAAAACTTTCATGCCTCCGGAAAAGTGGATCCTTTGCTTGAAATGTTATAAAGTCTTGTTCGTCCTCCATAAGATTAGGTTTCTCTTCACTTGAGTCATAAGGAAGATCAAATGGATTTCGCCTTGGTACTAAAACAGATGGAGCAGACCCTGGGATTGGTGGCAGTCCAAGGTCATAGTTATCATTATGAACATCAAATGGATTGTTTCTTGCTGTAGAAATGGACGGGATGTTGAATGGAAGATCAGCACTTTCCAAGTCAATCAAATTCTTTTCGGTCATCACCAGCCTCATTTTCTTCAGTGCTCTTCTCCTTGCCATAAGATTCTCCAACCGTTGATTCCTTTCGACCTCGGAGCTTCCCAAGTCAATTAGATTCTTCTGATCCTCTTCTGTCCATGTAATAGCTGACTTACTTATATCTTCCTCATCTTGCTTTCCTTCATCATCTTCACCATCTTCATTCTCGTCGTCTGCAACTTCTAGCTCTTCTTGATTTTCAACACCATCATCAGATTCGTTATCACTCTCAGTGGTCTTACCAGAACTATCTGAAGCACCATCAGAACCATCATGCAACAAACTAACATGCTGAGGAGTGTCTTCATCCAAAAGCGGATGGAGCTCATGAAGCATTGGAATAATGTCAGCCATTGAAGCATCTGGAGAAGAGCTCTCAGCTCGATCAGACTCCGAATCAAAAGACTCATCGTCATCATCATCCTCCTCTTCCTCCTGTTCTTCCTCTTCCTCCCTCTCCTTTTTCCAAGGGGAACCAGGAAGAGAATTAAGATTCACCCTTCTAGAATCAAAGGAATCTGATCTATCAAAGTCATACTCAATGTTCTCATTATCAACCGTCGGAATGGGAGAGTACTGACTCTCCATAAGCTCCCCATCATCATGTTTCTCTTCACTCTTTTCACTGTTTTGCTCATAAAACTCCCTTTCTGCTTCCTCAAAATCTTCATCAACCGTTGGAATTGGAGAGTATTGACTCTCTAGAAGTTCCCCATCATCATGTTCCTCTTCATTCTTTTCATTGTTTTGTTCATAGAACTCCCTCACTGCTTCCTCAAAACCCTCATCAACCGTTGGAATCGGAGAGTATTGACTCTCTGTAAGTTCCCCATCACCATGTTTCTCTTCATAGTTCTGCTCATGAAACTCCCTTCCTGCTTCCTCAAAACCCTCATTCCCAAATTGAAAATCTCGAGACCGTTCCACAAGTAGAGGGGAAAGATCACTGATCTTATCAATCGACTGATCTACGAGGCCCCTCTCCGTAAATCTCTCCACATAGTAACTATCTTCAGCACTCTCAATATGAGTAGTATCATACAATACACCAGTTCTCAAAGGCACTATATCATGACTACTTGTTTTTTCCTCCCTTTCGATTTCAGGTATATTTGGCTGACCAAAACTTAGTAAAGTTCCAAGCAGAACAGCAGTACAAACAAGAACTGGAGATACAGCTAACAATATTGAAAACAGAAATGGGAAAGATCTATACAAAAAAACTATGAAACACAGCATACTCACAAGAAAAGGATGTTTTAACACTGTAACATAACATCCTTTAATTGAAAACATCAAAATTCTCCTCATTTCAACTCCAATCTCTACTAATCCAACACCCATCTTTTTTTCTCACTATAAAAAACTACTCAAAACTTCAACACAATTATCAAATATCACAGCAAAACAACTCAATCCCCTTACTTACCAAGAGCAAGAACTTCCAAGTTCCAAACTGCATCAAAAAATGAAAAATACACACAAAGAGATCAGCTTCAACACAACAAAAGAACCAAATAAAAAAACCCCAAGTAAGCTATTCTTGAATTAAAACAACAAAAGAAGAAAAAATCAAGATTCATACCAGCTCTTTGACTACAGATCAAAATCAATTCTCCAATAAACAAAACAAAAAAACCCAACTTTCTTCTTCTTCTTTTTTTCACCTCAGCTAAGAAGTCTAACTTCTATTTTGTTTTAGCTAAAACTAAAGAGAAAACAAGGTAATCAAAAGAAGTAAAAAGAAAGAGAAATAGGAAAAAGAAAAAGTTTGCACCTTTCTCTTTCAACCCTCTTTCCTTTTTCCTTAACTTTCGGTTCTATTCTTCAAATCCCACCAATGGGGCCTGAAAAAATCAAATAAAAATTGAATCTTTTTACAGCATAGACTTTTTTTTTAATAAAAAATCAAGAATTTATATGACAAAATTCAATTATTTGAAGGATTATATTCCATTTTGAGATTGAAAGTAACAGACAGACATGCATCAATAATAATATAATTAAGACAGCTAAGTAGGGATGGATTTACAATGCAGAAAGAATGATGAAGAAGTTGTTTTTTGCAGAATTTTTAATTAGTTTAATGTTAAACTTTTGAAGTGGGGAGGGATGAAGGTAATCATTACTATTTGTTGCTTTTTTGATTAAGTTAATCTTGATTAATGGCTGTCAATAGGACAGGAACACAACACTTTCACAGTATTTAAGGGCATCTTGTCTTTAAACTAACCCATTAGTTTGAATAGCGAGATAAGGATAATAATTTTAAGATAAATAATTTTCCCATAATTTATAGGTAAAACAGTTCTAAGATAAATTCAATTCATATGTTGTGAATATGAGTTATAAAGTTGTTACTGGGAAAAAAGTTCAAAATATATCCTAACTTTGACAGAAATTAATGTAACGATCCTAAATTTTGGGCAGGACATATTACTTCTACACTATTTAATAGTGTATTTTAAGGATATATAGGTATCCATGTGGATATCATAAATATTGCATCATTATAAATAATAACTTATCCAATTGAATACTTATATATTTTTAAAATACACTATTAAATAGTGCAAGGGGTAATAGGTTCTGTCCAAAGTTTGGGATTATTTCAATAAATTTGATCAAAGTTTGGATATATTTCAGACGGTTTCCCCTTATTAATATTTATATTAGAGTAAGTTGTTTACATCATACATTTTCAATCTTTTGTCTGATCATGCTAACATATGATATTTTTTCTAATCATGGTAATATAGGATATTTATGTGTCGAATTACTCTTCTTTAGTCTCAAGATAAAACACACAATTTTTTTTAATCATGTATTGATTATGGATAATTAACTTAATCATGATTATATGAAAATATATAGTTAAAAAGTGAATGAAAACATTAGGTTTGATGTGGAAATTGTCAAGAGTTCGTGGGGACACATCTTTTTAATTTATTTATTGAATAATTGGTAGTTGTGATTTGAGAGTTGCAAATTTGCAATTCTCAACTTCACTTGATAGGCCACAATATTATGTAATTAATTTTACGTGTATTTACTGAATTTTATTTAATATAATATAATAATATATTAATAAAATTATTTTTTATTATGTTAAAATAATTAATTTTATATATTTTAATAGTTAAGTGGCCAAACTATTTTTATCACATTTAGCTAAGTTAAGTGTACTTACTATGATAATTAAGTCACAAAAACTTCGTCTATTGAATCATCTTAATAGGGGTATATTGAATGGTCTTATTGTTTTAATAGGTAGATTTTAATTACTATAATCATAAAGAATGTTGTGACCAACAAAGGTTATGATGGAGTGGTAAGTACTTTTTCATCCTTAACCAAGAAGTCTCGGGTTCGAGCTTTCTTGGGTACAGAGTCGTCTATGTTAGGGAGAGAGTTTTACCCTCAAACTGAAAAAAGTGTTATTGGTTTATTGGTATTGGGTTAACGACCTAAAGAACTAAGAACGTGAGTATTTAGATTTCTCTCTTTTTTATTTTGTGTAAAAAAGTTGGTCAAGTCATACATTTATTTTGAAAACATTTTCTTATTAGTTAAATCAAAAATTGTACCGTTAAAGACCTAAACCGAAACCGATAACAAATATCTTATTGTTTTGATTATCGATTTAACATATTTAAAAATCAAAAATCGATAAACAACCAAATCGACCGATACACAACTCTAATCATGTAAATCAATTTAATGATTGTAATTTGTATGTGAAACTATCCCAACAATTGACATAATGACACATAAATTAGATGATATTCTTATCCTTTTTTCAATTGTAGAATTATAAATGATAATTTAGACATTGCTAATTTAGAGATCAATTTTCTAAAAAATATATTCTTAACTTTATTTATTTTTAATTTACATTACATTACTACTTTTAAATTCATAATATAAAATTTGGGATTAATCATTAAACTGCCATTTCCCGCGAGAATAATTTCACAAATTTACTCCTCATTTTCAACTAGGGTTTTGGCGTCTGAGATTTGCAGAGATTTTTTCCGATTTCCATTTCCCTGAGAAACTCATCAGCTTCGAAATCTAACTGGTAAGTTTCTCTTGTTTCGATTTTTTTTTTGGTGATTTCAGTGTATGAGTTTTGCTCTATGAACTATCCGAAGTTGTTGATATTCGCATTATAAGCTTCAGTTTTCGTACTGCGATTGATTGTTTGAAATCTGCATATGTGAGTTGAGTTTTGCTCTATGAACTATCAGAATTTGTTGATATTCGCATTATAAGCTTCATTTTTCACAGTCCGATTGATTGCTTGAAATGTGCATATGTGAGTTGAATTTTGCTCAATGAACTATCAGAAGTTGTTGATAATCGCTTCATAAGCTTTCAGTTTGCGTACTCGGATTGATTGTTTGAAATTAGCATACGTGAATTGAGTTTTTCTCTATGAACTATTAGAAACTGATATCGGTTTATAAGCTTTATTTTCGTACTCTGATTGACTGTTTAAAATTTGCATATATGAGTTGAGTTTTGCTCTATGAACTATCAGAAGTTGTTGATATTGCCTTATATAAGCTTCAGTTTCTGCAGTCCGGTTTAATGTTTAAAAACTGCATATGTGAGTTGAGTTTTGCTTTATGAACTATCAGAAGTTGTTGATATCTCCTTATATAAGCTTCAGTTTCTGCAGTTGGGTTTAATGTTTAAAAACTGCATGTGTGAGTTGAGTTTTGCTCTATGAACTATGAGAAGTTGTTGATATTGCTTTATAAGCTTCAGTGTTCTTACTGCAATTGATTCTCTGAAATGTGCATATGTGAGTTGAGTTTTGCTCTATGAACTATGATAAATTGTTGATATTGGTTTACAAACTTTCAGTTTTTGTACCTCGATTTAATGTTTTAAATGTGCATATGTGAGTTGAGTTTTGCTCTATGAACTATCAGAAGTTGTTGATATTGACTTATAAGCTTCAGTTTTTGTACTCTGATTTAATGTTTGAAGTCTGCATATGTGAGGTGAGTTTTGCTCTATGAACTATCAGAAGTTGTTGATATCGCCCTAAAAGCTTCATTTATCGTAGTCCAGTTGAATGTTTGAAATCTGCATATATGAGTTGCGTTTTGGAGTAGTATTGTGAAGTAAATGTAGTTGTGATATTTCCTTTTTATGCCCTTCTATTTTGCTTCTTTTGAGGAAATTAGGATGGTGGACTGTGAGAAGAGAAATGTTTTATAGCTTGATTGGCTTTGTAGTTTTGTGGGAAAAGAATGCAAAAGAAAATTACTCATGTTAGCTCTTCATTGCTTACCGAAAGATGAGAAGAATCAAGGAAGTACTGTTAATGTTGTTAAAATTTGTAATTGAATTGGGAATTTATTCATGAGCTCTTCCAATGTCACTTTATCTGAAGCTGTGGAATGCCCTGTTGTAAGGGGGGACGAGTTTTTGGGGTTGCTTGCAGCTTGCTTGGTGGGTGGGTGGTCAGGTCTATGAGTCCTCCCTATTGAGTTGGGAAACTTCGACTGAAAACACTAGAAGATGGTAGTGATAGCACATAGGTCATGTTCTTGGAGAAAAGAAGTGACCAACATGGATAATTAAGGAAATGTGAAATGTCATGAGCTTGTTTCAGTAAAGGAGGAAAGAAATGACTTAGAAAGTAAACTTCGTATTATTTCCCCATCAGTATAGTTGGTTTATTTGTTTTGCTCTTCCTTCCTTTTGTTTCCCTCTCCTTCCTGTTGTCCCTGTCTTGAAATCAGCTTTCATTTTCTTCCGTCTCTTCTTATTTCCCCATCTTCCCTCCTAATTTCGGCTTCTTTTCACTTGTGTCCATATTATTGTCTTGATTCATCTTCCTTTCTTATTGAATTTAGTACTTTATTTTTTGGGTAGAATATTTTTATGCAAAAATATGGAATTACAAGACTTCCAACTATTTTTCTCTATTCTGAGTTGGTGTTATATATTTGCTGTGCTTTCATGAACCCACCAAACTCCAGGTTATTTCACTGTTGCATAGTGATGGATCTACTAATTGATAGTTAGACAGAATAGTCCAGTCAGATGCAATTGTTGTTTCAAATATGAATGAATGAATGAAGATGCAGCAGTGTAATTATGGATAACATGGTAGAAAAACAGTGTTTAATCTGCCAATACTTGTGCTTAATTGTTAAACTCTTTTCTCAGTTTTCCAATTTTTGTTTAGAGGTATGGATACAACAAATCCTGCTGTCTTTGTCAATGCTGAGCTCCTCCGCTTGTACATGGGAAGGAGAGTTCGAGCTGTGATTCAGGTTATGCGCTCTGATGGCGGTGGCACAGTGAACGGGAGATCTACAGATGATCAGCAGATAGTTGTGAAAGGCAATCCACCTGGTCCTCTTACAACATTTGTTGAGGTCACAGGTATCGCTGACAGTAACCAATCTATCCGTGCTGAAGCATGGTCCAACTTTGGGGACACACTAGGTACCACTTCAAATCACTCCATTAATATTTTACTATGTTTAATCACTATGTCTTTAGGTGCTGGAATCCTCCTGACTGCTTCTTTGTTTGCTTTTTGTTGTCCTGCATTTATGCTTTAAAGTCATGAACCATAAATGTTTTCGAGCTATTTTCCCTATAAAAGTATGCTGGAAGAAAAACAACTTACGTTCAAAGCTTCTGCGAGTTATTAGGAGTACTGGAATTATAGGCAGTCTTATATACTAAAATGCTGTTGGATTGTGCAGCGTGGATCTATAAACAGATCACT